TGGAGATAGAATAAGAAGTAGGTCTTTTCTTTTTCTTTTTCTTTTTTTTTCGTTTTTCTTCTTTTTTTTTCTTTCTGGCATGTGGGAGTTGACCTAGTTGCTGAGTTACCTAGTTTAGACAGATAGGTGGAGATGCCTGTGAGTATATAGATCTATGTATTATGTACTGTAAAGTACACACAGCAGCAGTAGCAGTAAACTAGACAAAGCAAACAGAGAGAGAGAAAACACCGCTTCTAAACCTCATCTCATCGCATCGCATGCACGCATCGCATCGCGATCGCAATCATCGAGTCGAATCGAATCGAGACACCCCACCTACCCGCCCTACCTACCTATCCCCTTCGTAGGTCTTTTCTTAGTAGGAAAAAAAAAGGAAAACGTCCGTGCTTATGTTAGGAAGTGGAGTATAATAAAATAGAATAAATGGATAGATAAATAGAGTAGGCTAAGCTAATATAATAAACGAAAAATCTATAAAGACAAGAATTGAAGACAGAAGCAGACAGACAGGATCTAGATTCTGGTCTAGGCGTGAATAATGTACGTACAGTACGTACGTACGTATGTATGTATGTATGTCGAGGAGGGATTGAGGACTACCGCTCCTCCGGATCGGCCATCACAAGGATATCGCTCTCCTTCCTCTCCAGCTGTAGCTCGCCCAGGTACCGCTCGCCCTCGTGCTGTAAATGCGTAATCAGCTTCCGCAGGTACTCGTACGTGAGCATCGTCGTCATCGCCGCTGGTACCGCCCGGATGAGGTTCGTCCCGATCCCCGAATAGAATGCCTGCCACCCCTCCTCACGCAGGATCGTCTGACAGGTGCGGATAACGCCCGTATACCGAGGCCGGTTGGGCATCCCATCCGATGACGCCGCCCCCGGCGGCCGTCCGTGGTCGCCCGGCCGGTCTATGCCGCCCCGGAATGTAATCTCCTCCGGTGACGTCGCCGGCGGATATCGCTGTTGGGTCTGCAACCGCGTCCGGAGCACCTCGTGCGGATACGTCGCGGTGCTGGCGCACACCTTGCTCAGGAAGGTCGCCAGTGAAATGCCGACCCAATGCGAGCTGCCCTCCTCGGGATGCTCGCCAATGCCATAGCCCGTGAATGCCATCTTAAAGTACTCATACAGTGGGAATTGGATGGCCACATGCGTCAGCCCCAGGAGAGCGGGCGTCAGCCCAGAGTAGAACGCCCGGATCCCCTCTGTCATGTACATCTTGCGAGCCGCATCCCATGAATTCCGATAGTGCCACGGAACCCCATATCCGTCACTGTTGAATCTCACTCGCTGAGACATCAGTCTCGTTTTGATCACCCATATCGGATTCGTCACCACCGTCGAACATGCTCCGGCTGTAACCGACGCATACATTCGCGCGAGCCACCAATTTTCTGAACTAGTTAGCATGGCCCTACTCAAAAGAAAAAGCGAGAGAGAGTGTGTGTGTGCTGACGAACCTGTTGTTCTTTCGAAAAAGACCCTCGACCTGTCATATACCGTCAGGTACACGGCCCACGTCGGCAGGTAACCGAGCAGCATCGGCCCCAGCCCCTGGTACAAGCCTCGAATGCCTTCCTCGCGCCAGATCATCTTTCCCGTCCCAATCATGCCCCGGTATAACCTCGACGACTCCGCCAGCGGACCGCGCCTCCGCATAAAGCCCCCCTGCGCCTGTAGCTTCGTTTTGATCACATCGAGCGGACATGTCACGATGCCCGACGCCACGCCGGCGCTGGCGCCGCAAAAGGGCGTCACATAGTAGTCCGGAATCTGGGTCGAGTAGATTTCCAGGCGACGGATCAAGCGCTGCACGGGAGAAGCGGAAGCATGGTGTACCGAGACATGCTGCTGTTCGGAGCTGGCGACCGGCACAGACGCGCTGTTCCGCTCCGACGACATTGTCACTTTGCCGGACACAGCGCTCAGGCAGGCTCTCTGTGCGTCTAGGTCACCGACGGTTCACGGATGCGAGCATAGCGGGAGCTCGAACCCGGAACCCAGGACCGGCGCCACCTCTCTCTCTCTCTCGTCGGAACTTTTGTAGAATCCCTTCCGGTCGGTGGAGGATTGGAGGAGATTCTATTGTGTGGTTCGAGTCTTCCGGTGGGGTGTTCTCGAATTGCGTTGCGGTTTGCCAATTCGAATAAATCACGGTGAATTTGAATTTGAATTCGATCCCGTGCGGGGTCTCTCGAACAGCTCCCCTGCTGGAGCACACAGTGGTCAACGCCTGACTAGCCGCATACCCAATCCGGACAAAAAGAAAAGAACGATGGATCGCAGACCAGATGGGAAGAGTAAGAAGAGGAAGACAAGAGGGGAGGGTTTCGTGTGGGATGGGGAAGATGGGATCAACGAGGGCTGCTAACCAACCTAAATTAACTCCAATCTGCAGGGGACATGCAGTCAGACGAGTGTGCGAGCGGAGAGGCCGAGAGTCCGGCCGGTGAGGAGTGAGGAGTGAGGAGTGAGGAGAGGAGTGACTGACGATGAGGAGAGAAGTCGGAGAGCCCTGCAGGACGGAAATCCTCGGCGCGGCCCCAGGCGTTCGGTCAGGATCGCCGTGAGAGTCGATCGGCCAGATTCCGGCCAGAACAGAGTATTATAGGCAATACGACACGAGAATATGCGTCTGAAAATGACGAGGACACGATTTTGGCGGCGTCTGACGTTATCGTCCAATGGCTAGCACGTTCTACTGTTTTACTGTTTTAGAAAATGCTTTCCGCACACCGACGGTCACGTGGGATGCCACGGGGATTGTTACCCCTCTTGACTGCACGGTCCTTGCAGAGGAATTATGTACGTGGTTCTTTGCAGTATGTGCACTCGTTATATACTCGTTGCTGGATTGACACATTACCAAAATGGCTAGGTTCAAAATTCCAACGCAACCGCCTACTTCCGGATCTTGACCTGCAGGCCTTCCGTATCCCTCCGCGTCATGCCGGCGAAATAATCGTGCACATGCTCGACATCCCTCTCCGTCGTGTTATACAATTCCAGGCCGGGGAACCGCCGGAACACCGTGGCGAGGATGATGTAGAGTTCTGCGTAGGCCAGGTTGATGCCCACGCACGAGCGGGTGCCCTTGCCAAACGCAAGGAGATAGCGCTCCAGATGCTCTTCTTTTGCGGCGGAGTCGATCCATCGCTCGGGAATAAAGGCGTCTGGGTCGTGGAATATAAGCGGGTTCTTCGCGATAAAAAGGGCAGACATGCCCACTGCCGTCTGTGGAAAGGTTACAAACTGACTGGACTGTGCAAGAGCAATACGAAGAAGACTTACCCCAGCAGGAATTACCCAATCCTTATACCGCATGTCCTCAGTACGGTTAACACGGGGAAGCCGAGACCATGCTCCTACAGCCAGACTACAGAGAATCAGTATCGCTGTGTGAGTGTGCGGACTAGAGATCCTACCGAAGCGCTTCTTTTACAACACCACGGAGATAGGGAAGCTTCTCCAGTTCCTGAGAGCTTGGAATCTTGTTCGGGTCCGGAATTGCGCTTTCCAGCTCCGCCACCAACTTGCGATGAGCTTCTGGATGAGCAAGGACTAAATAGGTCATGTACGTGAGAACACCCCCAGTAGTCTCGAAACCCGCCGCGAGCAGTCCATTGGCCTCAACGGCAAGTCTCTCGAACGTCTTCTCGCTTGGTGGCAGCGCATCGCTCTTTGACAACTCCCACATCACGGTTGGATGCGGCTTGGCTTTGATCTCCTCCGGGTTAGACTCTAACAGGAGCTTTGTCTGCCGATCCACGTCGGCAAACATGTCCACCACTTCCAGGGCCTTTGGATTCGTCAACGCTGTGAGCCATCTCGGCATCGCCATGAAGGCGTTCATGAGGAATGGGAATTGCCGAATGGTTGGGGACAGTTCCCACAGACTGCGCCAGGCGGAGTAGAAGTTTCTTCCCCAATCGGCACGGTCGAGCAGGTTGAACTGGTGTGCGAACACATATTCTGTGATGATGTCGACCGTCAAGCACCGATAGGCGTAGAACAAAGGAACGGGCTCATCGCGCTCCGCACAAGTTTCCATGCGGGCAATGAAACGGTCGACAATCGACTGCATGTGAGGAGAAAACTTGGAGACGGCCTGATGCGAAAAGAACGGGTTCAGAGCGCCGCGGCGGATCCGGTGCAAGTCGGCGGGAATTGTCCCAAATAATGCCATTGGATTGCCCAGCATGCTGTAGAAATACGGGCTCTTGTCAAGGCGATTGGACATATTGTACAGCTTGTCGTAGTACTCATGGTCGAGGATGTGCAGCTCATTGGGACCAATCCGCACAATTGGTCCTGGGAAGAGTCAACAATCGAGTGCTATCAAGTTGCGTTGCATGGCTTACCATATTTCTTATGCATGTGCTCAATTTGGAAAATGTATTGGCCCTTGTGGACGATATCATAGTAGGCCTCGTACCATGTCGTCAGTGCCGCCAGCTTGGGCCCGGGGAAACCAGCCCGGGCCAGAGGGTGGAGGTAGAGACGATAGATGGCAAGGGTCACTAGCCACACGGCCAGAGCGACCACACCAGCAACCCAGTAATCCGTCATCCTGAAACAAGCCAACAACGATCAGGAATGAGATGATGTATCATAATCTCGGGGACGGGCGGGAGAAAAAGTAATCCCCGGCCGCGACTGTCACGAGTCACCGCTCAGGGACTGCGCACTGACGTCCATGCAGCGCTTGCTGGAATCCAGCGCACTGGTGCTTGGTCCCGTTTTTGAGGAATCCGATTTAGTCTGTAGAAATGCATCTGGATTGTTAAGGACACAGCCAGCATCGTTAGGGACACAACTACAAAATCGTTTTCCACCAAAACGACTCGTACATCTGACCACACTTTTTTTTTTACTTAAAAATAATAAAAATCAAGATATGAGAAGGTATCAATGCTGGTCAAGAAGAAGAAATAGATAGTGTTAAACCAGCAGTAAGTTTGAGAGCGATAAGGTAAAGAGCTTGTGGAGGGGGGTTATTAAGGTTACGTAGATTTCCCACCTAAGTCAATGGTCTTGGAAGGGCCACCAAGGTAAGTTTAGGGGCCGATTGTCGGAGGTTCAGACAGCGACTTGGCTTTATTATGCCCTTGGCTCAATTGGCCAAACAAAAGCATATCGAAATTAGGTTTATTGACATGTCTGTATGGGTTTCAATAATGACAATCTGCAAGTACTCTGCAATTTTGGTGAAAATATCGTGCTTACCCAAAAGAATCTAGATGCGTGTCCCTAACAAGGCTGGCAGTCTCATTAAGGACCCCTCCAGCTGGGATTCTGCAACGTGGTGGCCAAGGGCGAATAGGTGTTTCGTGCAGTTAGGTGCAGATTGATTGGGCCAAGGACACGTGCTAGTTCCCCACAAAATACCTGTCATCCTCTCCCGCACCAATCGGACGCCGATGCTAAGCCGCGGACTCTGCCCGAGCGGCCGAGCCTGTCCGCTGAGGCCCAAACACAGTCAGCCTCGACAGTGCGGACAGGGCAAATATTTCGACCCCGGTCCCAGACTCGCTGCCTTCGTGGTCAACTTGACAAGATCTCTATTGTTGCTACGATCAGTCAAGAGCACGAAATCGCCATCATGGCCACACCCCCTGGTCCAGAAACGACCGATCCTACAAATCCTCAATTTCCGATTGAGGGCCATCATTATATAGAGGCGGCAGAGGTACATCTGCACTGGCGTTTGTGGGAGTCGTTTCGCGTTTCGGGACTGTGATGATGACTCTTGTCACCAGATAAGCGACGATGTGTCCGATTCTGCCTATGGTGAAGAAAAGTAAGGTCCCTTGAGTGGTCTGTAATGAATGGATCGATCTAACCGGCCTGGCAGTGAGAGCTACACCACGAGCCTCAAATCGAGCATCACTAATTATAGATATGAAAACGGTCGCCGTTACCATGCTCCTACGGATAAATGTGAGCCAGTCATCGCTGCAAAATGAAGTTCTCTTTGTCATACTGACCATTTGTGTTGTTAGCCTATTTCCTTCCCAATGACGATGTTCGCACCCTTGTCCATGCATGATTTCTTCTCGGGCAGTTAAGTAACTGCCTGCTTGTCCATCCAGATCGAAAATGACCGCCTTGATCTCTTTCACCATATCCTAACGATGCGTTGCGGCGGGGAACTTCACCTCGCGCCGATTGGGTCCAATCCCCAACGCATTCTGGACTTGGGGACCGGAACAGGGATTTGGGCCATCGACATGGGTATTCATCCAGATCCCCTCTATTTTAATGTAGATGTACGGTGTTGTTGACTGATTGTTACAGGTGACAAGTATCCTTCCGCAGAGGTGAGAAATCTCTCGACATGGGGAGCCGTTCTTAAGTCTGGGCTAACCAGACCTCGTCAATGAAAGGTCTTGGGCAATGACATAAGTCCAATACAGCCAACATTGTAGGACCCTATCTTAAGCTGCAGGGTTTAATTGACGGTTTATTGATTCGTCCTGCACAGGGTACCACCCAACGTACGGTTCGAAGTGGACGATATAGAGAATGAGTGGGTGTACTCGTCGAAATTTGACTTTATTCATGCTCGCTATCTTGCCGGCTCCATCAAAGACTGGCCGAAGCTGATGCGCCAGGCGTTCAAGTAAGAAAAAATAAACCCTCCAGACTGTTAGTTTGCGTGTCTGGCCATTACTAATCGGTGCTTCACGTCTAGATTCACCAAACCGGGAGGTTGGGTGGAATTCCAAGATTTCAACATGCGATTCTACACCACCAGTGGTGGAGAGTTCAAACCTGGCTGTCCATTGGACCAGTGGACGACCGAGGTCATTGAAGGCCTGAAGACTCTTGGGATGGAACCGGAGCCTGGCCCCAAGTTGGAGGGGTGGGTAAAGGAGGCGGGTTTCATCAATGTCCACCACCAAGTGCTACCGCTCCCAGTAGGGGTGTGGCCCAAGGACAAAAAGATGGTAAGCACGCGGACACTGATATGATAGCATTGACTTTGACAAGTCTGCTGACTGACCATCTGCTTGCAGAAAGAAATAGGAGCTCTCGACTACCACCAATTCCTCGACGGTCTGGAAGGAATCTCCCTGCGCGTTTTCACGAACGTCCGGGGTTGGAAGCCGGAGGAGGTGCAGGTCTTTCTCATCGACGTGAGAAAGGACCTCAACAATCCCAGACTCCGCGCGCAACACAATTTGTAAGTCATTTTCTGTCTGATCTCGATCTTGACACTGGTGACTGACACAGGCGATTAAAGCCATGTGGTGTACGCACAGAAACCGTTCGACAAGGAGTAACTTGTTCGAACGAAAACCTTTGGACAAATTTTTGGGCGTACATATCATTCATCCATGCACGAAATGTGGATTCATTCGAAACACATCCAAAATGCTGCCCCATATCAAAATTCATTTTTTGACGATATCTATAGTTTAATGCATTCTTTCCATCATTTCTATCTAACTGGCATGTGATTTAAAAATGGACAGACAATACGAATGATACCTCAACTGATAATGGATGATGTTTACATGGCGAACAGCGACGTTCACTGACAAATCCCGAAAGCATAGTTCTCTAAGGTCCTTATCGGTTTTTTTTTCCATCTACATAGATTGAATATGCGTGGGGAGTTCCCTTTACGCTAAACAGGGAAAAAAAATAATAGTAATGACTTATCAGAGACGCATTATGTACTACTGTAGCGGGAAAGAACAAGACAAGACATTATATTATAGACATGACCGCAAATGGGAAAAACAGCGCTTAAATAGTCCTAAAGTTCAGTTGTAGGTTCTCGCTTACATAATCAACCGAACTTTCTGCCTCAGGCACCATTCCACCTCAGGCTATCCGATGGTTTCGTTTTCTAGCGCCGTCGCCGTCCCGTTCCGGCTCAACGGGAATGAATCTCTCAAGCTTGGCCTTCTCGTCGCGCTGCTTGCTCTCTGCAACCTCATCCCTCCAACGTTCGGCTCTCAATTGGCCTCTCAACTCCCCTCTCCTGATCGAGACGATTCACCATGTCTGCTCCTTCCTTCGCCAATTACGTCGTCAAGCGGCCGTGGCTGCACCGCTGGCTGATGCCCATCGCCGAGTGGTACACCAACGCTGCTGGTTACAGAAGACTGGGTTTGAAGTACGTTCTTCGTCTTGTCTGCCTCCATACCAATTGACAATCGAATTGTGCTGCGACGGGATGGATGCGACGGAAAAAAGAGAGGCGGTTTCGATTGAGGACTTGATGACCCGCCATTTCTGCTGTCGTTTCTCGTCGCCCGTCGCTCGATCTCGCAGGCCAACCAACTCCGCGACTTCCACCTATATACCTAGAGATCTGACCGCATCCCAGGGCCGATGACCTGATCCCCGAGGAAAACGACGTCGTCCAGAAGGCCATCAAGCGTCTTCCTCCCAAGGAAGCCTACGACCGCGTCTTTCGTCTGCGTCGGGCATTCCAGGTACGTTTGCTTTATCTGACCTTGAGAAGCTGCATGCATCGTACAGCGAAGCTAACGTCATTTTTCTTTTTCTTCCTCTGCTTTAGTGCTCTCTGTCGCACACTCTCCTTCCCCCGGAGGAGCAGACGAAGCCTGAGGAGGTGAGTTTCGATCAGCTATCAGCAAACCCACTGCCTACCGCACCTCGTCCAATCCCATCGCGTGGATTTCAAAAACCGTCATGGTCTGTCCACATGACAGGACAGGACAACCATAACACAACACAACACACGCACACGTCTCGCTACAAGCAAATGGTCAACGAGTGACATGACGTGACGTCTATATCACTGACATATAACTGTCCCGCAGGACAAGGAGTACCTGAGCCCGATCATCCGCGAAATCGAGAAGGAGATCAAGGAACGCCAGGACCTGGACAACCTCGTCGTGAAGCGGAAATAGATGATGATGCCAACAACCTTTCTAGAAAGAAAGACTGAACGCCCCAAAGAATTATAGATAAAACTTGTCAATCAATCTCATTTATTTATTATTGTTGAGAAGACGGTGGTGAGGGGACTGCGAGAACATAAAGCAAAAAGCACAGCTGGCAGACTGGCAGTGTTAGCTGTGGCTGTGGCTGTCGCCAGGATTGGAAACTTCCTGTACTCGTACTGTACAAATCAATCGACCTATCTATCTATCTATCTATCTATCTATCTATCTGTCAAGAAAGCATTTCTTTTGTTCTACATCCGTCCGGCTTTTGCGTCCGTTGTCTATCCTAGTCATAGTCTAGTTATAATAAGTAGGCACTAGACAGGTAGGTCTATGTATACATGTACTGTACATACAGTACATGCAGCTCCATTTATCGTATATACCCTGGTATGTAATATAATAACTGTATATATATATATATCCAGCAATAAATCGGTCTTTCGGGGATTTCTCCCTGCTGACTGACTGGTGGAACATCTTCTTTCGTCGTCGCATATCTGGTGCGATTGATGACGAGACATCGCCATATTATATCGATCAGGGGCATTAATTAATTATTCATAACCGCGACATCGACATCTTCGACTCGCCACATGTACCACATGAAGAGACTTCTAGAGACGGACCAAAGTATTAGTATAGCATGGTTTACAAAGATTAGGATTTCTCTGGACATCATCATACCTGTATGGTCGAAACTTCTCGGCCAGCTCTAGCATCTCTTTCTCGGGCATGTATTTGAACTTTCCACCCCCCTTTTTGGCCTTGAGCTTGTTCACGTCTCGGCCGACGAAGGCTGCGCAGCCTCTCCTGTTGATATATAAAGAAATATTAACCAATGAACTTCCCCTCTTAGAGAGACGGTGATAGTTGGTGATGGCATCACTCACTGCACACCCAGATCCCCCGTCGAGAACACATCCGTCCGCTTCAACGCGAAGCAGGCAAACATCTCGACGGACCACTTGCCCAGCCCCCGCACCGCGGTGAGCTTCTCCAAAATCTCCTCGTCGCTCGCCTTCAGCAGCATCTCCGTGCTCAGCTCCCCGCTGACGAACTTCTCCGCCAGCCCCTGGATGTATTCCGCCTTCCGCTGGGAAAGGCCTGCTGTCCGCAGCGTCGCGATGTCGCATTGGGCGACCTCCGCGGGTGTCGGAAAGCGCTTCGCCGTCCGAAACGTCGGCGTCTCGTCCGGCCCGTCAGCGCTGTTGCTGTTGAAAAGTGCAATGAATTTGTTCTTGATCGACTTGGCCGCCGCGCCCGATACCTGCTGCCCGATGATAGTGCTGGCCAGGCTCTGAAACGGGTCAATCGGCTCTGCCAGACTTTCCGGCGAGAACAGCGGGCAGGGGTGTTTGTCGATGAGGGGCTTGAGGCGCGGATCGGCTGCGATCAGATGGGCAACCGCCTTTTCGAGGAGCGTGCCCGTTGTCGCGACGGGTTGCGGAAGCCCCGTCTTGCTCGGCGACACGCTTTCCGCTCCAGGCGGATAGGCAACCACGGAGCTTCCCCGTGGTGTCACAAGGATGGCATTCGTCCTGTGAGGCTCGACGGGACGGTCAAGAGGAGGCGGTGTGACTCTCGTCGTACCGTTCGAGAACGGCCCATCGTCCGTCTGGCCCGTTCGCTTGCGATTCAGCTTGGTCGGGGGTTCAGAGACGTCAATTGCGGCTTCGGCCGGTGTTGTGCCTGTAGAATCCTCTGCGGACGTCTTCCGCTTCTTCCTAGCTCCATTTCTCTCGGTCTTAGTCTTCGTTTCCCTGACCGTAGTCGTGACTTGCGTATCGGCTGCCTGCCGGTCAGCGGCGGCACTGATTCGAGCAGAACGCCTCAGAGCCATTGCGATGATAACAGGAGATAATCCGGGTCCAACGCCTGTGCGTCGGATACTCCCGGCAGTGATTAAAAGACGCTGTAGAGCCAGAATTCTGTATACTCCTTGTCGTGTGCGAGATGAGTCTGCTGAAAATTATATCCCGCGCATAGCAGGATAACCGCTGATTAATAATTGGTTGTTGGAGGGGGAGCTTGACAAGGTCCACAATTTCGGTGTCGATGTCGTAAAGACACCATGACGCAGATTCAATTGACAGAATAATTGGGTCGAATGGCCCTGCTCCCCAGAATAGAGGTTTGATGCAACAATTCAGAGCAATGCAATGAGTTCGACAAGCGTGGTCAGCTTGGCAGGTGGAACGCGGGGATGGCGCGCGGTCCCGTGATTAGCATGGCTGTAATTGGATGCAGCACATTCTCCAAAATTTCTAGATTGTAGACAGTATGGGTTATATTCCTACAACTCTAGGGCTCTCCATTTCTGATAACGTAGTCATACAAACTAATTCAATATTTTCTAGAGCGTGTAGCGACTATTCTCGAATGTCAACCCACCATCAGCACCATGATTGACCAGTTCCGGCACAAAAATATAAAATCAAATAGATGGCATACCACGGTTCGACGATTTCTCCCATCAGCGTAAATTCTGGATCTTTGCCACTACTAGCTCGTGATCACCGAGCTGAAAAACCAGATTGCACACTGATTCGTTGCGAAATACGATCTGTCGAGTCTTCGAGACGTGTTCCTTCAACGGCCCTCCATCTCCCGGCGTTCGGCCTCCATCAGTGCCTCCAGAATCAGATTTCCTTCCTCGATGTCTTCGGGTGTCGTCTTCAGACCGTATGAGAACTGGAAATTCGGGCGGTTGCCCCAGTTCTCTTTGATGAACTGGTATTTGCTTTTGGGCTTCGTGGCGCTGGCAGTGTTCGCGGAGCTGCATATCTACTAAGTTAGGGTCCTTCTGGTCCAACGCCAATTGAGAGAAATCTATCTACAGCGATAATATTGGATAGTATGGACAGGTCAAGGAGTGCAGCGAACTGAAGAGAAAGTATACAGAACCTTTGAGAGTCCTTGGCAGCACCACCAGTCTTTTTGTCGGCCATTCTGATCACCAGTCCTCTATTGGTTCAATCACCCAGTAGTGAGGCGTATTATTCGGCACTTTACCCGAGGAGTACGTAGACAGTGGCAAATGGTGAGCTAACGATTGGATGATTGGAAAGTGAACAGTGATGGAATACAGACTAATCTGCAGTCAGCACAGGGGACATGTGTCGGTGGTGGCCTGGTGGGCCACGAGGCCTAGACTGACGGGTGGTGCTTGCCGTCCCCGCAGAAGTCGTTCTAGCCCACGCCTGCACCCTATTGGAAAGAGCGTCTGGAAGTGTTCTTTTCTTGTCCGAGACACCGTTTGAGGCGGTGCAGCATAATTCTTTGTTGCTGGCGATATCCCACGGTTCTTGGGACACAGATCCAGAAATAATCGGCCTGTCTGCTACCGGCCGATGGAAGTCGAGATGCTTGGCGTACATTGTACTACTGAGACTATAACCTGTACAGAGGTACTCCGTATGGAACTCGACAAAATCAGGGGTGAGCGGTGTGCATTATTATTGCCTCCGAACAGATGTTATTCTTCAGTCCTGTTTGAAGCTAGGATTGGCTAGTTGCAGCTAGCATGCAATGCCATGCATTGTCTGGCTGCGTGGCATCTGGGACAAACGTGCAACAATCCTGGCAACGGGCTTATTGATAGCGAGACGTGGCATTCTCTACTATTTTTACTTGCGCCACTTGGCTCTCTTCGACGTATTCTGAAATAGACGACTTGTGCCTGACGTTGTGCCTGTCAGTTGTCACAGTCACCATTTATCCCCTCTGAGTTGCCACGAATTCAATCAGCAGAATTTTAAATGTCTGGAGTCTTATCAATCTGAACGAGTGCATAGCGATTACTCTGTAGGTCTATACGATTATTACGGAGTAACGGAGTAAAGGCGTGCCGTATGACGTTTCCAGAACGCGTAATAGTCCTGATTAGCGATCTTTTGTAGACACTCCTGGACCAATCATGTTTCGACCTCGAATGAAGAAACAGGGAACGCGAGAGTAGTGGAGTTTTTTTTCTTTTCTTCTTCCTCTTTCTTTCTTCCACGGTTATTACCAGAGCATTATTCGACAGCTAATATCCCAAGACTCTGCCGTAGCGAATGGTTGGCGAGTACTCTGTATGGAGTACGGCACGTGTGGGAAGTTCCGATCGGAGCGCGCACCGAAGATTCTAGTGATCCACGATCTACGGACACCCGTCTTGTGCGCACTCATCCACCGAGTCAGTGACTGACTAGAAAGGAATCGCAGCAGCCCGCACGGTCAAGATCTATCCTGGCATCAGTAGTCCTAATGGTCGTCTCGTGATGTTGCAAACGTCGAATCTAACTAACAGTAACGTGGGTGTATGGGATCATCGCGGGGGCGATGAATTAATTGTATCACCCCACTTGCCACCAAGCAACAATAATTTCTCACCTTGGTGATCGCTTGCGTATCTACTCGGTACGCAGCGACCTGTAACCCACAAGCGAGGAACTTCTGGAAAGCTGGGCTTCAGCCTAGATCTCAATTCCCAGCAATCACGATCCCATCTGCATGGAAAGATTTTATGCTAGTTATGCTGTCCGGTTTCACATGACGCAATAAGGCCTTGCGCACTTGATCACCACGTTCTGATCGCAATTTCTTTTCGAGCTAGATGGGGCCGCACCTCTTCGTTAATTATTGAGCTTGGATACGATTTTGCCAAGCAGTGCTACTGCCCTCATAAATTTAATTAGTAAGCGTGGAAGAATATTGCGTTATCCCAATCCAGTCTCCAGAATTAAAGACTGGAATGAATTATATTGATTGATTGATCGTATATTGATCATGCCCGTTGATTATTTTGTGCAGGACGGGTGCGAGCTGTGGATCCAGCCAGGTACCTGATTCCTGGTGAAGGCTTGGGGGCGTGATCGTCGCCCGTACCAGGGGTTGGCTGGTTAATAATCGACGGGGGCTTGTCCTTATCGACCGTCGGGCCAAGAGAAAATGGCAACATCAATCAACACAGCCCCTGCATCCAGCAAGAGGGAGCAACTTAGCAAGAGACTCCTGAAGCAGCAGCGCAGCCAGCTATCCTCGTCGTTATATTGTAGGCCCATCGGCGGGGGGACCTTAGTGTCTTGGGTCTGTGGCATGAATGGCTGGCCGGCGGCAGCATGGGGCGCAGCAGGCCAACCAGAGCGGCCAGTGTTGCAGTCTGGCGGGCTAGCAGCAAACAGCCATGTCCCCGTCCCGCCGGCAGGAATGCCTGGCCGAGACGCTCACTGGCCCTGTGCCAGCTCGGGGTCGGTGGGCCAGTCTCCCAGGCATCTCTGGCACCCTCTCCTTTTTGCCGCTCCCTCATTCCCTGAAACCTGAAAGACCGACCTCCTTCGCTCCTTCCATCCTCTCCTTTCTCTTCTCTTCCCAAACTCAGACGTCTTCTCGAGAGATCGTGCTTGCCCAATCGGTGACTCCCCCCTTCGTTTCAGGGATAGCCAGCCGCAGCTTCTCCCTCGTTGAAGCTTTTGCTCCCTTCTCTTCACTCGTTCATCTCCTTTTTGTTTTTATTCACTCGCGTCCAACTGACCACCCTCGCATCCGCGCAAGCGTGTTCTGAAACACTTCCCTTCGTCGCTCGATCTCGGCTTGGACTGCTGAATTTCATCCATTGCTCATCAGCATCCGTCAGTTATTTATCTTGTAATACACCCTTTTAGTAAGTCGTGCCTGTGTCTCCCTTTTTACCCGTGCCTAGGGGCGACGTCTCTAGGGATTGGCATTGGATCGCAGCGTTGGTGGTTTCGCGACGAAGTGTCATGGTGGAAATGGCCTGTTTTAAACGGGGAAAAATGGCCATCGCCTTTCTCGTGGCAGTCTACATACGTGGTATTTGACAAGTGGCTGACTGCTCTTTTAATCTGCCTTACAGATACTACAGCCATCCAACTGTCAAAATGGCCATTATGAAGTATATTGTTCCTGCCTTGTTGGCATCGAGCCTGGCTTTCGCCGCCAACTGTGAGTAGACAAGAATCCGAACTGGACTCCCATCTCTACACTGCGATGCTGACTGGTCTGCCAGCCGACAACTGTGACGGATCGTCCAAACCGATCACCATCCAGAACCAGGGCGATGCTGACGCCCTCAGCAACTGCGAGACCATTCAGGGTGACATCGAGATCGACAAGAACACCTCGGGCTCTATCACCTTGAACGGAATCCAGCAGATCACTGGCAGTCTGACCGCTGATGGAGCTGCCAACATCTCCTCGCTTGCCGCTCCTCAGCTCGCGAGCATTGGCAAGACCTTCAAGCTGAACGGAATCATCCTTCTCACCACCCTCAACTTCGACGAGCTCACTGAGGTTGGCCAGATCGACTGGGCCGCCCTGCCCAACTTGCAGGCTCTGTCCTTCGCCAAGGGTGTTACCAAGGCGGGCAGTGTTTCCATCACCAACACCGGCTTGACGTCGCTGAAGGGAATTGAGCTCGACACCGTCGGTGACTTTGACTTGACTGCCAACACTGCCCTGAGCGAGGTCAACGTCAACAACATCAAGAACTGCACCGGTCTCCTGAACTTCGCTGCCAACTCCAACAAGCTGGATGTCAGCTTCCCCAACCTGGTTTCGGCTGTCAACATCACCTTCCGCAACACGAGCAGCGTCTCTGTGCCCTCGCTCCAGAACCTTACCGGTCAGCTCGGTCTCTTTGGCAACAGCTTCTCCGACTTTGCTGCTCCTAACCTGACCAAGACTGGTGACCTGGTCTTCGACAACAACGAGAAGCTGTCCAACGTCTCTCTGCCGAAGCTCACGACCGTCAACGGTGGTTTCCAGATGTCCTCCAACAAGGATCTGACCAGCCTGACTGTCCCCGAGCTCAAGACCATTGTCGGTGCTCTTGACTTCAGCGGTAGCTTCGAGAAGTAAGTGTTATCTGTCACCGTAGGTTTGCCAGTGGAATGAGCATCGGGGAGCTGACGGGTTCTGCAGTGTTTCTCTTCCTGCCCTCGAGCAAGTCAAGGGTGGCTTCAACCTTCAGACCACGGGTACTCTGGACTGCTCGCCCTTCGAGAAGCTCCACTCCGACCACGTCATCCAGGGAGTTTACCACTGCGATGCGCACGTCGCTAAGCCGACCACGATGAACGGCTCTGGCTCCAGCAGCTCCAGCGGCTCTGCTTCCAGCTCGACCTCCAGCGGTGCTGCCGTGTCCAACATGGGCAAGGCACCTGCTATGGGTCTGACTGCCATCGTCTGTGGCTTGCTGCAGCTCCTGATGTAAAGGGTGTCAATGACTTTGCTGCTCGTGATTTTGTTTTTTTTTCTTTTTGAGGTCTTGTAAAGGCTCGTAATAGGCAACTGCTTTTTTCTAATATCGGGACATTTTTCCTTATTCGCGGCCGTTTTGATGATAATAATCGAACCTTTGAGCACCGTCCATTCCGGCTTCCTTCCACGTGATAGCTGCGTTCTGAAGTAATCCATTTGTTGTTTGCACGCACACACAGACATGTATGGACGCGAGCGTCGCTGGAAGCTTCTGGTCACCCGGTCAGGAGCTGGAAAGGGGGATTACCGGTACTCAGTCTTTTTTGGCACGTGCGATGGAATCGACGAGGGGTGCTGGAAGCAGGTCTGATGCCGCGGCTCCTAGGGTGTAGCATTGCCGATTGCTCTCGACCTTCATAGACGTTCCTTTGAGTTGACCTGTATCTTAGCCCTTTATTCGCAATTAAGTTGAGTTTGTTCCTCGCACCTTAGCTTGCGCGAAAGATGTGTCGTCTCAATCGCGCGAACCTCCGGGATGGATCTTTGTCTACTTGAGCGTCTGGAGTTTTTGTCATCCTTCGTAGCTTGCTGCCGCATTCAGCGGTTCCCACACATGGAGGCGCCTACTAGTCAACTGGCCAAGGTGATCGTAACTAGGACGATATACTTGTCTTCTCCATTGTGTTCGGGACTATGCCGCAGAGGGTATGGACGTGCTGTAGACAATTTGTCATTCTTGTCCACTCGAGCGACCTGTCAAGTCTGCCACTTCCACGGCCGCCCAAGCCACCCGCCGTGCAGAAGTCTCCGCTGGCCTGCAGAGGACCGCGTCGCAGGGATTCGGCGACCCCTTCCACCTTCCCCGCCTCGCCCTCGATGTTACAACTAACGGCTGGCAATCCCTGCGATCAGCCTTGCATGTCCAGATCTCGCATTGGGAGCCGTCGCGGTCCTACAATCCCTACAGAGGCGTACGAGTCCAGGGACAACGAGGGGATGCTCCTCCTTCCCGGCGTCCCTGGATGGGGTGCTCGCGCCCTTGTCCGCCTGTCTTGCTTGCCTGGGACGGCGGCTCACTTCATAAGCAGCACGAGCTCCCCAATCGTTCGTAAGAGCGACGGGGTGTTTAGTGTGATTCTGCTTCCCACAGCACAGTGTATCAGCTAGTCGATGTCCTGCAGCTTAGGCATGGTTTCAAGGAACCAACGGGCCTTTGTTGAGAGCCTGTGTGAGGGATCACTACGAATCGAATGGCACCTTACTACTGTTTAGACCGTGCCGACAGCTGGCATAAACCGTTCGAGCTTCGGAGGCAGGATGAGGATGCTCAGACGATAGGACCGGAACAATTTAGGCTTGCGGCCGGCTCGTCTCATCCGCCAGCACTATCTGGGGCTCGATCGTGCGCTTGGTGGATGGTGCAGGTCGGACATTTTAAATTTAATGCTGTTATTGTCATCGCGGCGTGCGAGACAGCTTCATGCAACTCAAATGGTGACCGGCGAGGGGAAGCGACGCCGGCCTGGCGATCCATCCAGCTGGGCCACTGAGAGCCACAAAGACAAGATCAATCGATACGAGATACGTCTTCTTCTCTGCTTGCCCCTGCGGCGGGCTGGCAAGGGAACGTGGGGCTTGGGGCTTGGCCTTTAGGGCATGTGCTCGGGCGTTGCCGGATGTGGCATACAACAATCCAGATCGGAGGCACAAAATATGACAGCTCTGAATCCGACAACGATAGTTTTGGCCCACCCCAGCGTCGTAATGGTAAGCTTTGAGCCACAAAAATTCCCCGTCGATCTGAACCACTGGCTAACCCTGCGCGCTGGACGTTCCCAGGGAATCGGTTCCTGCACCCCTCCCCCGCCAGGGTCCACGATAGGCCAGGTCCCTGCGATGCGGAACATAGTTGGTTCATCCGATCATGTCTAGTTTTTGGATCCTGTCGATTATACTTACGCCGCGTCTTCTAGTTCCCGGTGCTTGGATCCGGCTGCCCGCCTGTTGGTGGCTAAGGGTTGAGCGTTTACTGTTGTCGTGGGGTCTACGCGCGCGCTCCATGTGCCTTACATACGACCCTGCACCGTTTGATTTGAGATGTATTCTCCGATGCCCCTCGCAGGCCAACTAACGAAACGAAATTCTAACACACCTTTTTTAGTCTTACCATTTGTGGGTGGTTTCTGCGATCCACCCCTGTGTCCGAAAGGAAACGGTCTCGTTTCTCGTTTGAAACGTTTGAAAAAAGAAAAAAAAAGGACGTTGGACCGTGCAAGTGAGAAAATGGTCTCTGTTTCGGAGCTCCTGTTGGGGATGCCCGGCTGTGGCTGTGACTGCAACCACCCAGGGCATCACAGCCTCTGCTCAGCCGCGAGGAGAGACGAGAACTTCCTTTTTTGGGGTCTATAGATACGGCGCTTAAAGTCGCCACATCCTGAACAGGCCTCGCTATTCTTCACCTAACTGGGCAGTGGGGACCTTTTCCTTTCTCCCGTGGCTCTCTTCTCCTATCAGATGATGATTCTATCTGTCTAGTCTTCTGCTGATCTTCACTCGCGCTTGGGCCATAGCTTCCTTCATGGCCTCGTCTCGACTGAGGGGTAACTTTTGAGACTTGCGGAGACATGGCTGTGTCAAGGGACGCCGGGACCTTTCACCACAGGCGCGTTTGAGCGTCACCATTGCCTTGGCTCTCAATGGTCCCGCAGCTGCTTGGCATCGAGATCCTTGGGTCGCGATGGCTTGCACAAGTGGTGCGTATTGTAGGCATTACTATTTTCTTCCCGGTCTTCAATTGGTTCCGGAAACTATTGATGCAAGGAGAAATGATAAATCTGAATCGGAACCCGCACCACCGGTTACGAATCAGCTCGCGCAGTGGACCATTTGTTTATTCACTAGATCGAGCTAGCAGAGATCCAATTCGTGGATCTGCTATTATCTTTTCTGTGTGTTTTGTGACAGAGAATCAGAGAGACTGGGAGCCTGTGAGATAGTGAGCCTGGTCGAACTTTGCGGGACAGAGTCTCGATTCCCCGTCCGCCGTGGAGTGCGGGATGGTAAACTGGATGCAGAATCCAGCTGTACCTCACATCAACTATTTTGTCGTGCCTTTCCTTGTTGAGCGTCTTGCAGATCCAACAGGTGATGCATCCTGCTGCCCGTGCAGATACTCAACCGGAGAGCACGTCGCCAGCTTTGCCTGCGTCGGAAGCCATTGCGAGGGGAAGGTCCCTGACCGGATGCTTTTAAAGGGATATATAACTGCATGCATGGTCGACCTTCTCGTTCTCCCTCTCGTTCTCGTGGCCACGTTCGCTCGGGTTCGTCTGCTTGGGTCATTCTCTCCCGTGCTTCGTGGTGACTTGTCTATATACGTATATACTGGACGACTTGTCTTTATATTATTGATCCCATACTTTTATCTCTGGGATCCCGTTCTTGGACATACTTGAAAAGGACTTGTTGTGACAACCGAGTCAATCACTCATTCTTTTCACCATGGTTGAAGATACCCATGCCGCCGATGCTGTGCCTCGGCGTTGTTCATTACCGTAAGTGGCTTTGTGTTCTCTATGTCAACATTGGAAAAGGCCTGTGAGAATAGGTCTAACATCGCGTCGGGACTTAGTGCATTGAGCTCATTTTGCACCAACGATGGGGAGAGAAATAACGACCAGTCATCTCGCCGCCTTCCGCCGTTGCCTCGCGTGGAGCCTTTGCCTCCTGGCCCATTCAATCCATTCAGTTCAAGTGCCTTTATGCCGAGCCCTCCAAGCTCGCAGGACTCGTTCTCCGTCAAGTCATCGTGGCCTGGTAGCGACCATCCGGTGTCGCCTCCATCTCCCGCTAGTTCGGTCGAGTGTTCTCTGAAGAAGAGCTTCTCGACCCAAAAAGCCTTTGGGTGGCCCAACGATCTCTCCTACGCGGAAATCATGAATCTGGTTGCGCCCCGGAACATCAACCGCAAACCCCCGCTGCAGCAATTGTGTGGACGCAAGCGCAAAAACAGCGAGGTCACCGGTGATGTCGATGACCAACGAGAGAAGCACCGCATCGCCGAGGGAAACCGACGCAAGAACCTCAGCCAACTTCACCGAGAACTGGATAGCCGTATCCATGACTTTTTCCTGGAACGCGCTGGCTGGAATCCTGCAAAGAGCCTGCCCCAGTCGAAAGAGCACATCGTGCAGGGGGCCATCTTTCTCATCGACTTCATGCTGGTCGTCATCACACATCTGCTGCGACAGGAGAAACAGGTGTCGCCGCAACTGTCTGAAAACTTGCAGTCATACCTTCGGTGTATACAGTTGCAACAGCAGGTGAATAGCTTACAGCAGCAGAACCAGACGGCCCAGCAGCAAGTGCGAACGCTCAAGCAAGAGAACGAAGCACTGGCCGAGCGCAACCGGGCGCTCGAGTTTCAACTCAAGTCCTACGACCAGATGTTCCGCTCCCCCAAGAGTGAAGTCGTCAGCACTCCCCTGCTGGCGAGCATCCCGGAAACCACTGAGAAGAAAGTGCTCCCGGGCCTACGGGTGTTCTGCGATGAGGTCGCCGCCATCGGGCCTGACTCTGAATCCGTGTCGACCGGCACGTCCCAGAGCTTCGCCAACCGGTTCCTCCGCAGCACGCCGCCGAACACCAACCCACCATCACCAATCTGCTTGCCCTCGCGGCGAGAGTCTCTTGGCGCCATACCATGAACGCCTAGTTATGATTCAGGGACGGAGCGCGTTTGATGGAAATGACATGACACAACATTGATGAGGTTATGATGCTATGGGAGGACGGAGGCAGGTGTCGCTGATACAGCTATTGGAAGGGAGACATATTGGGCTTATCTTTTTTTTTCAGGAGACGTTTACTTATACATATGATTTCATCACGCTGAAGACGGTTGGGCTCAAGTCTCGCAGGCGGTTACCTCTGTGTGACCTGCCGTGTATCATTATGGTTTTTTTTTCTTCGCCTTTTTCTGTGACTTTGTCATGATGCTCGCTATGTGTCCACTGTTGCGCCTGTTCCAGTTGGGTGTGTCTCGAAAAGCAAGGTTATTCTTGCACGTCTTTTGTCTATGCAATTTTGTACGTCTATGATTTTGTTTCTCATTTCGGTTTTTGTCATTTTTCTTGTCCATATTTCCCATGGCAGATGATTTTTCTCCTTCTCTCCCTTTTTCTTTTTGTTTGCTCCATCACGTATGTTCTCAGACACGGGCCTATGATGATGACTGTTGCTACCACGACACGATTTCCCGACCTCTTCGGGTCCGGAGCAATGGGAGGAAGGAGGTGAAGGGAAGGTTGGAGGAGACAACCCCTTGATTGCGCGTTTCGATTGTTGCTTGCAGTGTAATCTAATGAATAGAGCGTTGTTCCTTGGCAATTGGCTATTTCCTATCTGCACTGCAGCTATAGTAAGCTATACTATTGATCGGGTCTGATACGTATGAACGAGGGTGGAACTGTACTCCACATCTGCCAGGACAAGAACTCTCTGAGACGGAATCCTCTTCCCCCTGCATTTAAGTCCCCAACTCAATGCGTAATAGACTCGTGCAAGGCGCTCGTTCTGGTCGAGGCCGTCCCTTGCTTCAGAGATGCAGGAACCATTGAAGCTATTATCTGAGACAGACAGGCACTATTTGGCGCTTGCAGGAAACGAGCTGGTGAGCCGCAGTCCCCGCAGAAATGCGCTGGAGAGCATTAATAATCATCTGTGTTTGTTGATATACTGTATTGATTCGTCAGTGCTATATTGTTGTTGTTGCTGGACTAGGTACGCCTGGACGGCAAACAAAAGGCGAACCGGACAACGGCTGTGCTATAAACGGAAACAGATTCAGTCCGGGGCGTTGATTTGCTGGTCACACTACAACGTCGATTGCAACCTGTCGAGTCATGGTACCCTCTGTGATGGTGCTGCGATGGATAATATGGATGATCGCTGTGGTCTGCGGACAGACTGTCGTAGAATTGCAATTAGCAGGATGGAGACTGGTGTGATTGCAGATCGTTGATCGTGTCTGGCGTCTAGACCCTGCGAAACATCGTTTTTCCTTTCCTGCCGTCCCGTCTCCACGACCCATCCGCCACCCCAGGACTTCCTCAAACCTTGCCAGAATCACCGTCACCCCAGAGGAATCCCTGCGTGTTTGCCTCTCCTGCCCATCGTCTCTGCACGGCACCTACCTCCAGTCGCTCGTTCTGCGTCCCGTTGTGCGTTCTGCAGACTCTTGCGCGCAGGCGGAGCCAGCCAATCGCTGC